GGGGGGGGTCGGCGGGCGAGTTCTCTCTCTTTTGTAACCTACCATTCCAGAGGTCTTCTCAACTCACGGACCTTTCTACTATTCATCCCTGCCATGCCACAGCAGTACAGCAGTGCACCCATCGCAACATGCCAACAATCGTGCAGTAGACTTTTGAGAGTTTTTCGATCCAGTACACATGCTGAATAGAGCATGAAATCGGGCTGGTTGGGATAACACTGGAGGACAGGGTCTTCATGCCGCCTCCCTGTTCTAGTTCCTCCTAAACAAAACTTTACGCGTAGGCAGTCAGTTCACAATAGTGCACGTCCACCCATCGACATATCTACTTTTTTTTATCATACTAAGCGTACGGCAGCAGCACCTGTGCGTGCGTAAAAGCTACACGCGGGGACTCCCGCCCGCTTGGGGAGCTGGTTCGGGTCCGGATGGTTGAGGCCCTTGGCCGACTCCTTCGTAGATGGGGGCCGGCAGTTGCGATCGTAGATTCGGAAATCCGATTGGACACAAGAAGCGGCGCCAGACGGAACGTGTACGACCGAAGACGAGTGTGTTTGTTAGTTTGATTAATTCATCCTTTCATGATGTGATGATTCCTCAGAAGCGCTAGTGCGGGTGTGATCGGACCAAACGACGTGCGCACTCATTTCAGCAATTCATTCTTTCGTTATGCCATCCCTCAGAAGCGAGTACGTGTTGTATGCCGAAAGACGTGTTCTATATTAGCTTCATCAATTGAACTTTTCGTTTTTGTGTTTCATCAGAAGCATGGACGCGCGTATGCCGAAAGACACGTGCTAGTTCCGTTACTTAATTCTTTCATCTTTTTAGTCCTCAGAAGCATGGGTGCGTGTATCACGGAAAAAGGAGAGTGTAAAGTTCGATATGAGTCATGAGCCCGGAGTGGGCTCGAATGAGAGCACAGCAGTGTCATCGGAAGTAGTGATGAAAGGTGAAAAAAAAGGCAGGAGCATACTTCTTAGACGACCGATCGCCTATATAAGGCCAATCGATTCTTGCCAAAGGTGGCTGAAATACCTCTCTTCGCTACCCTAAATACGGGGTATGGTTGAAAAGAAAGAAACATGCTGTAAAGAAGAAAAAAAAAGTCCAACCGCTGTGGAAGCATAGCTCGAAACAGCACGAGAAACGTGTAGCACATAGTTGTCGACATCTCTCAAGTGGCGCTCCTGTGTGCGGGTCAGGAGGTATACGGCTACAGCCGACGCCAACACAAAAAAAGGCACAACCGACCAAAAAAACAATCAAGATGTGCCATGTGCAATCTTACGGACCGAAGTTCGTCATTACCCTGTTGTCCTCACACGCCAAGCCTACCGTTTATGACGCAAGATAACGCACCCCCTGGACCGAAATCCAAAGCTCGATTGTTCAACAGCAGCAACAGTCGCAGGGCGGTGGAGTAATCTAGCTTTGAAAATCGGTCCAGGGGGTGTGTCATCTTGTGTCATATACGGTATCTCGAGGGGCTGACTCAGCAGCCCGACCCATCCTGGTCCGAGTTCTCAATGCGTGGATTGGGCACTTCCTCGGTACCGGCCGCTATTTCCCTCGTTGGTTTAGGGAAGACATATCGTATATGACACGAGATACCACACCCCCTGGACCAATTTTCAAAGCTCGATTACGCCGCG